ATTCACTTCCACACAGCCAGGGTCAGTATTGGATAAATGGGAAATTCCAGTGGTATGGCAGAAATCAAGGAAGTGGTCTGATTATTCACCAAGGGATTATGTGCTTACCAGGTATTTAACAAGAGTATCAGTTCAATAGAGCATTTTTCTTTTTTTTGGCGGGGAGGGGGGATGTGGAGGAGAGGGAAACAGAGGAGTGAGCGGTAGAATTTAACTTTACAATTCCTTGCTCTGCTGGGGATTCTCAAATCTGTGCATCAGAATCATCCAAAGAGTTTTTAAAAATGCAGAGCATAAGTCCTAGACCAGACCCAGAATCAGAATCAGAATCCCTGGGGCTGGACTATGGGAATCTGAATTATTGCAAAGTTCTAGAGCCTTTTGAAACTTACTCCCTAAAGTTAAAGTTGAATGGGTAAAATCTGAGCAAATGCTCTGTACGTATTGGCTGCCTCCACCTTTAAAGCCACTATGATAATACGGTATGCCACAAGCAGTGCAAACAGACCAAGAGCATGGAGTCAACTATATTCCCCATGTATTGTGACAAAACTTATCAAAATAGAATTTAAATATGTGCATTTTATTGTTTCTCTGTCATGCCTCAATAACACGTTAATTTTTTAAAGTTCCAAATGAAAAAGCACAAAATAAAAAATCTGTAGCATCTTGATTTTACATGTATTCCTAGGTGCTAGATGCAGAGTATACAAATGCAGAAAAACTAGTCTCAACTATGAGGAACAGAAGGCACAACATAGATGTTCTTACACGCACATATTAAACAGTCACGGAGTAGTCACTCTTGTGAATGGGGCCCTCTCATGTTAATTAATCCTCACAACCCTATGGGTAGGTATAACTATTACTGCCATTTTAGAGATGACACAACAGAGAGAGGTTAAGTAACTAGACCAAAGGTACAAAACTAAAAAGTAACAGGTCAGAATTTAAATCCAGGCTCTATCACTTGATGTGCTAGCCTGTTTGAGCTGCCATAACACAATACCACAGACTGGGTGGTATGGCTTTTCTCACAGTTCTAGAGACTACGAATTCTAAGACTAAGGTGGGGACACGTTTGGCTTCTCCTGAGGCCTCTGTAACTTGGCTTGCAGATGGCCTCTTTCTTACTATGTCCTCACCGGCCTTTGCCTCTGTGTGAACACATCCCCAGCGTCTCTTTTTCTTCAAGGAACCCAGTCATATCGAATTAGGGCCCACCCTAATGGCCGCATTTAATCATGTCTTTAAAGACTTTATCTCCAAGTCCACTTGCATCTAGAGCCACTGAGGGTTGGAGTTTCAACATAGGAATTTTGGCAGAATGCAATTCAACCCATAATGCCTGATGACGGTGTAACCTCAAAATTACTGGATCTCCCTAAGGCCTGTTTCTTCAAGGGTCCAATAGTGCTAATGAGAATCCAAGGAGATAATTCATGTGAAATGCTTAGCAGTGTCTGGCACATCATTTTACAGATGAGAACAAAACTCAAGAGACGGTGATTTGCCCTGTTTTCAGCTCTAAAGTGGAGTTCTTACCCTATAGAACCCTACTTTCCTGTACAAGCAAATGCATAATCCAGCAGAATTTTATATAATTTATAAAATTTTTGTATCTCTTACTTCTTGCTTTCTCATGGTACTTTTCTTACTTTATTATAAAAACAAGGGAATAAGTTAAAACTTCATTAGGGAATTATTTCGTTAGTAAAGTATACTACACTTTCCTGGAACCATATAGGACTTTCATTCATCGTCTCTCCTAATTTACAAAGACAGTTAGCTATAGTCACAGTGATGATACCTCAGAAGATCAATATTTACTTTTAACTATTAAGAAAGAAAAGCAACTCAATGCTTTTTTAAAAAAAATTATGATTGTACTTTATGTTTGCCTGGTACTCTACATATTATATCCATTTAATCCTCAACACAATCTTAGGATCTTGTTTTATTGAGCTCTCCTAACAAGCACGTGAGGAAGGTATTATTCCTATTTTATAGCTGAGGGAACAGGAGGAGCACAGCAAGGTTCAATGTTTTTCTTTAAGGTCACAGAGGTTCACAATGACAGGCAGAACCAGAACTCTTACTGACATCTTTGAGTCTAAGACCAAGGTTCTCTATTTCAGGCCACTATCTGCCTTGGCAAGTGCAGTAGCTAGTTTTCTCATTTCCCATGCTCTACACAAACAGAGCAGGTGCTCAGCAAATAAGGCAGTCTGATTTGGGGCAATCTAGACTAAGCTGTAAAAAATCTTTGACGTCCTTTATACGGGCCAAGTTTCCTGACAACTTTGACCACCACCAATCCCTTGGACTAACAGCTCTTTTAAGGAACCAACCAGTCTCCTTCTTCCCCAATATTTAGCACACTGAGTGCTCATTAAAGTTCAACAGGTATCTGAGAAATGAGAGTTCAAGCAAACTGTTGTGTAATTGAATCTTGCACATTCTTCCTTTAGTGATGACAAAGGGCACTTTTCAGCCACAACTATATAAAAACATCAACAAAAAGAAACATTAAAAACCTCTCTGTTGGGGCACCTGGATGACTCGGTTAAGCGTCTGACTCTTGATTTCAGCTCAGGTCATGATCTCATGCTTCATGAGCTTGAGCCCCAGGTCGAGCTCCACGCTGACAGTGCAAAACCTTCTTGGGATTCTCTCTTGCGCCCGCCCTCCCTCCCTCCCTCTCTCTCTCTCACAAAATAAATAAACAAACAAAAAACCTCTCTCACAGTCTATAACAGAGAAGCCTCCAGGGTTTTTCCAGGCCCGCAATTCAAAGATTCCACTGCAGTCTACTCCTAACAGTGGTTGAACTGACCACCACACCTTGAACACCAATTACAGGCACAGTGCAACTGGAATCACCAGTGAAGAACCACACCATGGTGTTTTTAGTCTACAGCATGCTCTCAGGGAAAACAATTTGGCATATGTGACAGGGAAGTTCACGATTCCCAGAGGGAATTGCAATGGATGATAAGGTCAATCTGAGTCAGAGTGGAATTGCTGTTCATCAAGGCCCCTATGCTGTAAAAGGGAGCTATATTAAGAGGTATCATGACAACTTTTATTTTCTCAAGAATATACTGGTGTGTGGATTTTTTTTTTTTTAGCTTCAAGTTTGTTTTGCCATGGCAGCCCAGGCAAGTTTTGCCTGTGCCATGGAAACTATCTGACCACTTCTGAGCTGTTCTGGATACAGGGAAGGGAGGTGGGCAGAGCTGGCCAGAGTGGTGTCCTAAACTCCGCTTCAAGCTCTCTTTCAACTTCAGAGACTTGTGGATGTCCACTTTTTCACCTCTGTTGCTTCTGTGTACCCTGTCGTGAACTATCACCTCCCTGGCTACCAATTTCACAGAGCTTTTATAAGCAGATTAAAAAAAAAACTGAGGTCCCAGAACAAAAGCATTCAATGAAGAATTGAAAGGATAAGTATTGCCAGCATTACATTTGCTGTCTGAATTCATCTTTTCAAAGCACTCTTAGATCTGAGGCAGCAAATTTACTAGAAAACTAAAGAGATATTCCAGGTTTCCTCTTCTAAATCAAGGTATCTCACAAATACTTTTTCCTGACATCTAAAGAGAGAAGAAATCTCAGAGGGAAATGAAGAGGCATACAAATAGAAAACTCTATAAATGGCCAAACTAAAATACTAATCTATCCACTTATAACTGCAATTAACATTTATTAAATACATGCAATATACAAAAGGTACTGAACTAAATGCTGTGAGGACACAGAATCATTTAAGAAATGTCTGCTCATCTTCCTGTAGTGCATCTGTACCATAAGATGAAACTTGTTTAGAAAAGGTTTCAGGTTTCCCTAGGACATGGAAGAACAAAACTTTTCTCTATTATGACTTCTGGCCTCACAGAAAAATTTTAGAACACACTAGGGGGAGAAAACTCTTACCTGTTAGTTTCCACTGACAAGCGGCAGCATTCTCAAGAGTTACATGGCTACAGAACGACTATAACTTCCATAATAACCTAATTAAATCTGACACACACATGACATGGGGGGAGAAGGAAACTCACGTGCCCTTCAATTTCAGTAAGAAAATTTGAAACGTACCGACAAGGAAAGCAGGAGGAAGATCAAGATCATGTGGTTTGGAAAGAAGATCAAGAACGATAGGGCAAAAATATTCCAAATAACAGCAAGTCACTTGGGATTGCTTGAATGCCCTGCCATATTAAATCACATATGGCTACAAAATGAAAGGAAAAGCTAAGGCCTATCTCACGCCTCACTTATGCTACTGATTGAGTTTGAGAAAGAAAATTAAGACAATCTTTTCAAGTTACTCAATCAAAGGCAAAACTGTAGGCTGGCCATTTAGGGGATAAGCTCATTAGGTGGGGTAAAACACTTGTTTAGCAATTAGTGTCCTTACCCAATTAATTTACAACAGGAAGCCCTAAATTTCCTTAAATTTATCAGTATTGGTTTGCTAGAACTGATTGTTCCAATATATAAATTCTTTGTGTTTACTTTTCCCTCTGGATTTATGGGCTCAACTGTTCTCAAAACAGAACTTTTTAATATCTGCTTCTTTCACTTTTAATATTCTACTTTCCCAAGCCACAGAACTGATGTTCTTCAACAAATGAAGTAAAATGCCGAGAATCAACTCTCATATCAAGGGATGGGGGAATAAAGAAGGGTTTATACCCTCAGGCAAACAGAAACACCCTTACAATAAGGTCGAGATGACATTAAGGAAATATACAGCACATCAAATGAAATTTTGTAGTAGTTACAGTTCTAATCCAGCTGAACCACCTTTTAGGGCAGCCAATCATGAACAAGATTGCTGTATTTGGAATTAAGACAGCAAGAATAGACAGCCTCTCCACAGAATTAGAAAATGACACTCAGCCAGCTCTATGTCCTGTGGTATAATTTCACATGCAGCACACCAACAATTCTTGGTTATTCTTTTTTTTTTTTTAATGAAAAGTAGATTGACTTACATGGCTCTCTGGCAATGAACTGAGGTACAGTGTTGGGCAGAGGAGTACTGGGGTTTGGAGTCCCTACTAGTTTGTTCTTGGCCATCTTCGTGTTTGCCTTAGCAAACTCTAGTCGTAGTGTTTGCGGAATTTCAGGATCGAAGCGGATGCCCTTTGGAAATAAAGAACAAATGGAAGATGTTTTCATTTCCTTAGAGTCAAACCGGAATGGTGACAAAATAAACACACCAGTAAACCCTGGCCTATCAGGAAAAAAAGGTCAGCAAGAACTCATTCTCACTACTTACACATAATATGTGAAAATCTGTAATACAACATGTCTAGAAAGTCAGGGGAGATTTTGTTTACTTAATTCAAAAATTTAGTTACATGTTTTTTCAACTATTTCTTCTTGAACAAAAACCTTCAGGATCAAGTTTTTGGTTTTTTTTTTTCTTCTCCTTAAAGTTTGTTTATTTTTGAGAGAGAGAGAGAGAGAGAACGAACGAACACAAGCGGGGGAGAACCAGAGAGAGGGAGACAGAGGATCCAAAGCAGGGTCTGCACTGCCAGCACAGAGCTCAACGCGAGGCTCGAACTCACGAACCATGAAATCATGACCTGAGCTGAAGTCAGATGGTTAACTGACTAAGCCACCCAGGCGCCCCCAGATTCGAGTTCTAAATATGGACCAGCAAATTCCTAGTAGAGTTAAAAACCTCAATTAATGGCTACCAATAAGAATAATTAACGTAAAGCTCTGTACAATACTGGAAATCACGGAGACCCAGGCCCTGACAAGTGTTCTGATACTGATGTAAAACAGTATTATCCTTCAATGCCTTAGTTTAATCACCTATAAATAAAGAAAATTCCCCTCCCTTTCTAACTAGAGGGCTTTCATAATGGTGATACATGTAGTACTGAGTTATTAAAACAGAAACTGAGATTAAAGATTTCAATGTAACTAGTATCATTTAATTCCAGTTAGCTAATAAATTTACATAAAGCCTTACTGTCTTGAGGTGGTAACGTCCCAGTTTTGATTATAGCTGGCTTACTAGCTACATGGCTAGAGACAACAGATTATATGGGCCAAAGAGAGGGTAGTAATTTCAATTACCTTGACCCTATTATTACAGTTAACCTAAAACAAAACATTCAATAAATCACAAACATTATAAAACACAAGATTTAGGGCAAGATAAATCTCTTTTGAAACCCTCCTACCATTCAAGAATGCCTCTGTTACTAATCATAACAAATATTCTCCTATCTATTTTCCAGTGCTATGCATTCTGGATCCCAACAACAGTAACAAAAAGATATCCCAGTATAGTATATAAATGTGCGTCCAAAACAGGCTCAGGTCCCACATCTGTCTGCATGGTATGCCCTGGAAAGGGGGTGGATTTCTGAAAATGAGTATCCTAAGAACACAGGTTTTCCATTTAGTGTACATGTGAGCTTGTGGGTCCCAAAGGCCCCTTTCTACATAATTAGCTTGAAAAAAGAGCAATTTCCACAAGAAATTAGTAAGAATCTTTGACTGTAGACCAGGATGAACAACTCTGAGCTTTACAGGTTCAGCTCCAAAGATGAGACAAAGAGCCTGTGACTGGACAGTTAACTGCAGTAAGAGAAATAAGGGGGGAGGAAGAAAGAGAGCTCCTCAGGGAGATACAACAAAAGCCACAGAGCCCTGACCTACAGACATCCTGGAGTGGGTGGAATTTCTTTGTGAGCCTGATTTGTCCATTCTCTGAGAAGAAACCAACTGAAGGTAGCAACAGGGGTGGGCGGGAAGAGAAGGAATCCACTCTGTACAGCCCTAACCAACAACAAAAAGCAAAAAGGGGGGTGCCAGTTGTAAGAAAGGTAAAAAGAAATTCTTTCCCTAACTGTTCTGTTTTTATTTCATTTTAACTTAGGAAACCTCAGTATTATCTTGCCAAACACATAAATGAGGAAAAAGAGTAAGGCCACATTCTGAAGCAGAGTTTGCTTTCATCCGCTTCCACGAAAGAGCATTTCACTCTATCAAAGCTAGTATCACAACAGAATAAATATTTCCAAATATGGACCCAAAGAGCTGTGGTCTTTGCTGAGAGACAAGTGCAGTCCCTGGCTAACAGTATGCTGTGCCTATTTACACAACACCCCATCAGCTACACATAGTAGCAATCTGCCAATCTGCCATCAATTTCAGGGTGTCCTCCCTGGCACTCCACTCCACCAACCTTCCTGCGAAGAAGGATTTTTTTTTTTTTTAAGCCGACTTTTATTGTACTTGCTGCTTCCCGAAGAAGGAACTTTCCTAAACCTGAGCACTGTGGTCCAGGCCATTGTAGCACGAGAAGAGCATCCTGGGATCTCTCAGTGGTCCTCTGGAACTTCTAGCCTCAGATAATGAGGCTGCACATCTGAATTCCATGCCTCAGCTCTTCCACTGGTGCTCCAGAGTCAACAGAGGCTCTGCACAATATGCTTGCCTTTTACACCGCTTGGACTGATGGCTCGTGTCCTAAAACATGCTGAATTAAGCCTCCCCAACTCCCTCTTCATATCCCTCCTCTCTGTGAGCTAAAATAACACCACCATCATGTTCCAAATCAAAGTTCCAGCTCCTTATTTTAAAAAAAAAAAAAAAAAAAAAAAAAAAAAAAAAAAAAAAAAAAAAAAAAAAGGCAAGCTCAGAAGTTAAAATGACCTAATTTGTTTGGCAGCTTATTCAGAGGCCGGAGGCTTAGAATACAAGCCACATTCCTCTAACATCTTTAGCAGCAATACCATATTTGGTAATCAATATCCTGCTCGGCTCAGTTTCTATCCAGAGGGATCAGCCAAGCCAAAAACATTTTAAATGTTAAAGGATGATGGGGGGTTGTGGGGGTGGGCAGGGGTAGGGAGAGCATGGAAATGGAAGGAAACAGGGGAGAAAGATAAAAAAAGAAGAAGATAGATAAGGAGACCTGAAAAAATAAAAACACCTTGTGCTTTTAATTAAAGCCTAATAAGATTATTCTCTGGCCAGAGTGATTTCACATTAAATGCTGTAGGTGAAGATTACTGCCAAGTCAAGAGGGGACTCTGTGCCTTTCAAAATCAACTTTTTCCTTTCTTGCCTATAATCTGCCAAAACTCTTCTCATAACAAAGAGAAATCTTCTTCTTACACCTGTAAATGGTATCTTATTTACATGGTCACCAGAAGGGAGAGTTTCTGGGTATCAATATGATATCAATTTGAGAATAAAGCTACTCAGAAGCCACCCAATCTGATGGGACTACACGGACAGCCAACAATCCCTTCAAGGACGGTGACCAAACCAACCCAGGTTCACCATGAACTACAAAGGTTGAAATCCCTACCTAGGAGGTACAAAGACAGTGCTGACAAATAACGTATCCTTAATAGTCTCGTATTCTTAAGAGTCTACCAGGGCAGTTTCAAATCCTATACTGTGGTGTCCCGGACTGAATGCTGAGGTCCTGCCAGGATTCATATATTGAGGCCCTAACCCCCAATGTGATGGTATTGGGAAGTAGGGTCTTGGGAGGTAATTAAGTTTAGAGAAGATCTTAAGAGTGGGCCCCTAAGATGGGGTCAGTAGTATACCCTTAGAAGAGGAGGAAGATACACCAGAGATGTCTCCAAAAGCACACACCAAATAAAGGCCACACAAGTACACAGTGAGGACTACAACCAAGGAAGAGGATTCTCACCAGATACAGAATCTGCTGGTTAACATGATCTTGGATGTTCTAGCCTCCAGAACTGAGAGAATTAAATGTCTGTTGTTTAAACCATCCCAGTCTATGGTATTTTGTTATGGCAGCCCCAGCTAGTCTTGCTAACATGCTAACAGTTTTCTTTCCTGTGCCATAGTTTCTAAAATATTTCACAGTATTCTTTCTGAACATTCTGTGGCCTCATATAGATAAATTTCCCCTTTCCCATCAGCCAATCTCCAATTCCACCTTTTCCATCACCACAGGTCACTCAACCCACAGGAACAGTCTTCTTCAACTGGTGTATGGCCTGGTATTTGATCACTAGAAGTCCTAAGAATTCAATCTCAAAAGCTACAGAGAGCAATTAGTAACTCCTAAAGAAAATTCAGATTCTGCATTTACACACTGTAATGCTTTAAATTCAAACTCAGTTATTGCATTCAGGAATTGAAGGAATTATTTTTTTTTTTTTTACATTTTTTTTTTCAACGTTTATTTATTTTTGGGACAGAGAGAGACAGAGCATGAACGGGGGAGGGGCAGAGAGAGAGGGAGACACAGAATCGGAAACAGGCTCCAGGCTCCGAGCCATCAGCCCAGAGCCCGACACGGGGCTCGAACTCACGGACCGCGAGATCGTGACCTGGCTGAAGTCAGACGCTTAACCGACTGCGCCACCCAGGCGCCCCGAAGGAATTATTTTAAAATACCCTTTTTCTCTTTCTCTTAAATGTAAATGAAACCTAACTATTTGTAAACAAAAGTTAAAAGATTTTTCTGAATTGTGGGCTGAAATCTCCCAATGCAAATTTGTGTTTCCTATTTAAATTGGATTAAGATTATAAGCAAATCAGAGAGCTTAAAAATGCCATTTATTGCTCAAAAACTCTATCAAAGCTCATAATCCTAAAAGGATAAGGAAAAGGCTAGTATATAATACACAGAAGGAAATGGGCAAGGTGAAGTTACCAAATCCTGAAGACTCAAGCCTCTAGGGATAAAGAGAGTCACTGTTAAATGAATTTCTAGGTCTTCCAGTGACTTGAAGACGAAATGGAGAAAATACTAATTGAATATGCACAAAGCCCACATCCTAAGTAGCTCCCCTATTTCTCTAGCTATTGTGATACTGGCTTCTTGTGTATACTGCCTGGTACTGGAATGATTTATTGGCTGCAAATCATGGATTTGGGACCATATAGGTACAACATCTTCCAACTCCTTAGTACTGTCACTGGTCTTGGACTAACGTTATCCCACATGAGTGAGGATAAAGGTTAGGAGTTTAGGGGCGTGTGGGTGGCTCAGTCAGTTAAGTGTCTTACTCTTGGTTTCAGCTCAGGTCATGATCTCACAGTTCGTGAGTTCAAGCACTGCAGCGGGCTCTGTGCTAACAGTGCAGACAGAGCCTGCTTGGGATTCTCTCTCTCCTCTTCAG